CAAACAAACAAACAAACAAACAAAAGGTTGGCTCACAGAGCTAGGCATAAGGGCACATGTCATTGTTCCCAGCACTCAGGAGGCAAAGGTAGGCAGATCTCTGCATTCAAGGCCAGCCTGGTCTACAGAGTGAGTTCCAAGACAGCCAAGTGTATGCAGAGAAACCCAGTTTCAATCCCTACCCACATACCCCCAATAAATAAATAAGTAAATAAAATAATAATAGTTGGCTTACACATGGCCAAGTATGTGCAGAGAAATCCTGCTTCAACCCCTACCTCCATCCTCAAATAGCATAGCATAGCATAGCATAGCATAGCATAGCATAGCATAGCATAGCATAGCATAGCATAGCATAGCATAGCATAGCATAGCATAGCATAAAGTTGGCTTACAGAATTGGCTTCTGGCTGGTATTTGGGAACTTAGCCTTCAGGGGAACTTCTACCATCCCTGTTCCTATAGGGAGCAAACAATCTGACTTATGCTAAACACTCCCTTCTGGGAACCTGGGAGTTTGACATTTGCTAGTAGAAAATGCTCATGTGATCAGCCTCCTCTGGGCACTCAGTGTATAGTGACTTCTCCAGCTGAAGATATTTTATAAATATTATCACAACTCAGTGCTGGAGAAATTAAGTACATTCTATGTGACTTGGCTGAAGGAGAGTTCTTGGAACTTCGTTCTCTGTTTCTTTTTTCGTTTTGTCCCAAATACCATTTCCCTTTGTCAGTTCTCCTTTTACTATAATAAACATGATTACAGGGAGATGTTGAATCTTTCCAGTCCTAGTGGATCACAGACATATGTATCTGAGTTAGAGAAACACAATGACCAAAAAGCATGTTGGGGAGGAAAGGGTTTACTTGGCGTACACTTCCATATCTATTCATCTTCGAAAGAAGTCAGGACAGGAACTCAAACAGGGCAGGAACCTGGAGGCAGGAGCTGATGCAGAGGCCATGGAGGGGTGCTGCTTACTGGCTTGCTCAGCTTGCTTTCTTATAGAACCCAGTACTACCTCAGGGATGACATCACCCTCAATGGGCTGGACCCTCCCCAGTCAGTCACTAATCAAGAAAATGCCCTTACAGGCCTGCCTACAGCCATATCTTATGGAGGCATTTTCTTTTTCTTCTCTTTTCTTCTTTCTTTTCTCTTTTCTTGCTCTTCCTTCCTTTCTTTTTAACTTATTCACTTTAGATCCCCCTCACTGCCCCCTCCTGATCATCCCCCACAATCCTAACCCCATCCCCCCTCTCCTCCTCTGAGCCAGTGGGGCCTCCCCTGGGTATCTCTCCACCATGGCACTTCAAGTGTCTGTGAGTCTAGGCGCTTCCTCTCCCACTGAGGCCAAACAAGGCAGCCCAGCTAGAACATATTCCACCTACAGGCAACAGCTTTTGGGATAGCCTCTGCTCCAGTTGTTTGGAACCAACATGAAAACCAAGCTGCACATCTGCTACATATGTGCAAGGAAGCCTGGGTCTAGCCCATGGATTTTCTTTGGTTGGTGGTTTAGTCTGAGAGCCCCAAGGGTCCAGGTTAGTTGACTCTGTTGGTCTTCCTATGGAGTTCCTATCCCCTTAGGGGCTACAATCCTTCCTCCTATTCTTCCATAAGAGTCCCCAGCTCAGTCTACTTTTTAGCTGTGGGTGTCTGCATCTGTTTGAGTCACCTGGTGGGTGGCGCCTCTCAGAGGATAGCAATGCTAGACTCCTGTCTGCAAGCATAACAGAGTATTAATAGTGTCAAGGTGTCTGGAATTGGTGCTTGTTCATGGGATGGGTCTCAATTTGAGCTGGTTATTGGTTGGTCATTCCCTCAGTCTCTGTTCCATCCCCAATTCCTGCATTTTTTTTAGACAGGATAAGTTTTGGGTAGAAGGTGGGTTGGTGTCCCTCCTGATCCACTGCAGTTCCTGCCTGGCCATAGAAGGTAGTCTCCCCAGGTGGAGGCATTTTCTTAATTGAGGTTTCCTCCTCTCAGATGATCTTAGCTTGTATCAAGTTGACATAAAACTATCCAGCAGACTGAGGAATTTGCCTGGCTTTCCCCAAGAAATAATGTTCTTCAGAGCCAGAACAGTTGGCAGTAGAAGTGGCGACAGTAAGGTTTACTATAAGTAATTGATTTGTATAACTAGAGACACTAAGAAGACCAACATCTGCAATGAGCCAACTGCAGACCTGGTAGTCAACGGTAGGGTTCCATTCCAAATGAGGTCACCAAAACTGAGGTGTAAGTTTCAGTAACTCTAGAAATGAAGGGCCAGTACCCCAGGTCAAAAAATCAAACAAATGGGGAGAAAGGAGGTTTTAGTTTACTCAGGGGCTCAGTGGGTTACAGGAAGCTCACAAACATACTGATTCAAATGGCTTTGACCAGACACATTCAGAAATGACTTAACTCATGTATCTTGGCGTCTTATAGTCCAGTCAAGTTAATACATCAAATGCAGCCATGCTTCAGCTTTAGTTCTGTACAGACTAGAAAATTACCTATCTCCAGTGTGGTGGTTTGACAGAGAATGTCCTGACTGGCTCAGAAGCTTGAATACTTGGCCCCCAGTTGGTGGAGCTGTTTGCAAAGGATCAGGAGGTGTAGCATTGCTTGAAGAGATGTGCCCTGGGTGCAGGTTAAGGTTTCAAGGGACTCCTTGCATTCCCAGTGTTTTTCTCTGCTTCCTGCTTTTGGATAAGGTATGATCTTGAGTTGTTCCGACCACCATGCCTTTGCTACATTATCATGAGCTGTAACCCTCTGAAGCTGTAAATCCAATTAAAGACTCCCTTTTCTAAGTTGCCCTGGCCATGGGTGTTTTGTCACAGCAATAGAAAAGTAACAGGACATCTAGTCTTCTGGTCTTCCCAGCATAAGTCTTGTTCTATTAATACGATGGATATACTTTTTCCTACCTCAAATGGTTACTGTGAGCAAATAAGAAACTGTTTGCTTCACTGCTAGAGAGAGATTATGAGATAAGCAGATACAGCATGGCATGTGGCCAAGCAGTGGGCTGGAGCTGGATCTTACAGGTGCAATGGGAGGTCCCTGAAAGTTTGAAACTAAGCCTGGTGCAGTGAGCACTCACACCATGTCACTCAGCATTATCATCCACAGGATGTCCTGCCAAGATGTCTGTTCTGTGACAGACTAGAAAATTCCTGTTCTCCTGTTTGCTCTGTTGCTTTGTATTTTATTGAACCCATTTTTTTTTTCTAAACTGGAATAATATACAGGTTAAGTGAACTAAACACATATAAATTGCTCAGTATCTCTCTAGCATACAAAAACCTCACTAAAGATTGAATTGTAAAACCAGGCATGGAGGCTTGGGGGCTGGAGAACTGGCCCGCCCCTGGCACCACTGCTGGGAAGTTCAGTTGATGGCTGAGTAAAGGAATGCACCACCACTACCGAGCTAGGTCTAGATTCACATTTCTTTGAGTGAGCCGTCTTCCAGCTTTTTCACCTCCTGCCTAACAGACTAAAGCATTTGTTATGTGCATATTCCTTCTGGGTTGCCCTGTCTTTGCTTTCTTCTTGCTAGAAACCCTTACTCACTGCATCCATTCTATTCTTAGAGGCCCAGTTTATACCACAAAACCCTTATACTTGTGTATTCAGCAAGTGTTTATTTAATGCCTTCTGTGCACAAGGAACTGTTTTAGGTGCTTGGGATGAAAGGCAAAGGTCATGCTCTCAGAACAGGTTTGACAGTGGTGCAGACAAACATATATCGTATGCCTAAAGTTGGACATTATATAATATCCTTCTACTTAAGTTCCAGCTTAAAGCCTTCAATTGTCTTATTCAAAATCCTTATTCTGTAAACAGCACCTTACTCTAATATTCTAGAATTTTTTTTTATATAGGGAAATATTAAATTGCCAAAGAGCAGTAGAAACTAAACAGACAGACAAACTGAGCCTGGCATGGATCAGTGGGTAAAGTGCTTGCTGCATAAGCTGAACAGCCTGAGCTGGACCCCTAGAGCCTACTGTAGGAGTGGAAACTCCCACAAGCTGTCTTCTGTTCTCAACACACACAATCGGAATACACACACACACACACACACACACACACACACACACACACACACACACACACATACACACACACATACACACACAAAGTCCTTCTTGCCTGCTTGTGCAGTACACTGGTGAGAATCACTGAAGGCTGAAGATTACTTTTACTCTCAAATGGTAAAAAAAAAAAATTTTTTTTCCAACATGCCTATTTCTTTGATGCTATGGGTGATGTTAAAAATGTAGTAGTTCCTCCTCCATGCTGGGCGGTGGTGATGCAAGTCTTAATCCTAGCACTTGGGAGGCAGATCTCCGAGTTTGAGGATAGCCTGGTCCCAAATTCTAGGACAGCCAGGGCTACACAGAGCAACTCTGTCTTGGAAAAACCAACCAACCAACCAACTAACCAACCAAACAAAAAAGAACATATGTTGTTGGGCTGGAGAGTTGGCACAGTGGTTAAGGGCACTGATTGCTCTGCCAGAGGTCCTGAGTTCAATTCCCAGCAATCACATGATGGTTCACAACCATTTGTAGTGGGATCCGATGCACTTTTCCAGTGTGTATCTGAGACAGCTGTAGTATACTCATATAAATAAAAAATAAATTAAAAAGAAAAAAAAGAACATAGGCCTTCCCTCAGAGTTCAGATGGTGACTATGCTAACTAATGGCTAGGCTTTAGTTACAAAAACCAGGAGTACCTTCCGTATTTTATAATGAGAAATAGTTTCTTGTCTTATTAAGGACTTAAGGATATTACCTATGTCACTTAGGCTGAGGGAAATGTGCCCTTGGTCCATGTGCCCTTGCATAAGAACAGACATTTTAGGGAACTGAAAGAGAAGCAAGTAGTTTAGGTTAGAGATCTTTTAGAGAAAAAACATAACAAAACACAGTTTCATAACTGAAAGAAGGAAAATGAGCATTAAGTAAGAATTTTAAAAGACCAGAAATAAGCCAAACTTTGCTCAGAACAGATTTATTGACCACAACAAAGTTCTATATACAAAGTGACCTAGACCTTAGTGACAAAGGCTATATAATCACAGACCTTAGTGACAAAGGCTATAATCCCAAGATATAGGAGTTTGAAGCAGGAAGACCATAAATTTGAAGTCAGCCTGGCTACACAGTTCTAGGCCATGATGGGCTGCGATCCTGGACTACAGTGACTGTCACCAAAGACAAGAGTGACAAAAGTCCAAACAAGGCCACCATGCTTCTAACTGACATCTTGGTAACCGGCTGTCATATAAATAAGGAAATCCACACTGGACATTAAGTGAATGGCCTGATTTCTGGAAATTTAATAGTGTTACAAGTTAACTGAGACAGGCATGACTGAATCCTGGTGAGAGGTCACTGGAGGGCTGGCATCAGGTGTCAAGAGGCCATTTTGTGCACAGCCACTGTGATACCATCATGTTTCTGGATCATAATGTTCCTGAAAAGCCAAAAAGGAAATATTCAGCAAACTCTTTTTTTTTTTTTTAATTCAGCAAACTCTTAATGCATGTGACTTAAAACAATAGCACATACAAAAGCAAATATGAACAGCCCTGTTGAGACATGCCAGTCACAAACCCCTCCTGCCATAACCTCTGCCACACTTTCCCATCATAAAGGGACTACATTCTCAAACCAAGATGAAAATCTTCCTATAAGAAAAATAGATAATAGCACAGATAGCATGAAACAGTTGAGTATTGTGGGTAAATCTAATTATAACATAAGAATGAAATTAATCCTTTTAAATTTTGAATTAAAAAAAATAATCTTCAACCCTATCACTCAACATGATTCTGATTTTTTTTTTTTTCTGGAGGTTTTTGGTGGTATTGTTGGAGTTAGAATCCAGGGCCTTGCACATGCTATCACTAGCCTAGCCTCCTTCCTGGTCCTAATTTTTAGATTAAAAAATAAAAAAATGTATGTGTGTGTCTGTCTGTGTGTGCCATATGCACATTGGTGCCCAAGAAGGCCAGAAAGTGGTGTTGTTTCCTCTGGAGTTGAGAGTTACAAGTGGTTGTGAGCTTTCAAATGTGGGTGCTGAGAACTGAGGCAGGTCCTCTGGAGAGTAGCATGTGCTTTCAACCATTGAGCCACCTCCCCAGCTCCTCATTTTCATTATGTTACTTATGTTTTGGTGTCTGTATGTGTGCCACTGCTTGCACGACAACTTCAGAGTGCTTGTTCTCCTTCAACCATGTGGGCTCCAGGTATGGAATTCCGGCATCAGACTTGGCGGCAAGGACATCTATTTGCTTAGCCATCTTGCTGCCTCCTGGTTCTAATTTTAATCTGTGTGTGTTTGTGTGTGTGTGTGTGTGTGTGTGTGTGTGTGTATACATACATTAATATTAATATCCTCTTCTTTCCTATCCCCCAAACTGACCATAGTATGTATTTTTTTTTTTTTTTTTTTTTTTTTTGGTTTTTCGAGACAGGGTTTCTCTGTATAGCCCGGGCTGTCCTGGAACTCACTCTGTAGACCAGGCTGGCCTCGAACTCAGAAATCCGCCTGCCTCTGCCTCCCGAGTGCTGGGATTAAAGGCGTGCGCCACCACCGCCCGGCCATAGTATGTATTTTTAAAGGTTCATATATTCTATGTCTGTGCAAGTGTGCACATATAAGTGTGTGTATGTACACACAGCTATGTACATGTATGCAGGTCAAAAGAAGGTTCTGGGTGTCCTCCATTACTATGCAGCTAGCTATTCCTTTGATATGTGGTCTTACCCCTGAGCCTGAGACTCCTTTTCTCTGCTAGACTGGAAGACATTGAGCCTCAGCAATCCTCATGTCTCTGCTCCCCACCCCCCCCAACTTGGAGCTGAGGTTGTTGTGTGGGTGGCGGGGTGCTAGGACGTAAGCTCCCATCCTCAGCCTGTGGCTCACACACTCAGCTTAAGCACTGGCATCTCTCCAGCCCCAGTTTTCTTTTCTTACTTTTATCACTTAGCATTTGAAGAAAGACCTTTATCTAGGAATATTTTTTTTTTCTGTTTTTAGTTTCTTGAGACAGGGTTTCTCTGTGCAGCCCTGGCTGTCCTGGAACTCACTCTATAGACCAGGCTGGCCTCGAACTCAGAAATCCACCCTGCCTCTGCCTCTCAAGTGCTGGGATTAAAGGCATGCGCTACCACTGCCCGGCCTAGGAATATCTTTAAGATATTACTTTAGTGAATTCTGTGCAACTAATCATTTTTTTTGTGTTTTTACTGTTTTCCTTTATTGTGGTGGGGGACGGGGCAAACTGACAGCTAATGACAGTTCTCATTTTAATGAGGGTTTGTCATGGGGCCTGGATGTCCAATGGCTCTGTGGTACATTGACTAAAGAACCACTGTTGAACTCAGGGGAAAGCCCAATCAAGTTTTTCAGAACAAAAATAAAGGGGTGTGCTGATATGTACTTACCCATTATCGGATTCTAAACATACCACAGGAATGTCGGTAGGGTCAGAGGTTAGCTTAGCTGCCTGCTGGGCTAGAACAGATACCACTCCAGCATGCTCATCGGACAGGGTACCACGGCCTAGAAAATAGTGAAAAGTGTCTAAAAATTAACCCAAACCTACAGTTTAGTATCTCCTCCTGAATTGTTGTGAAAAAGAAACTCAGCTCATGGCCTTTTGCCTTTAGGTTAAGTACTGACATGAAATGCTCTCCCCAACCTGGTACTCAGCTGATCCCATCAGTGAGAAAGTCTGGCAATTGTTCTTAAATCAGCAAAGTCGTAAATGACATGTAGTTTTCAGAGTTATTCCCCTCACTATACTATCTCTAAACACCTTCTCAAGCATATAAGGAAGCTGTAATTCAAGTCATCTGATGGTTGTAACTTCATTTTATAGGAACCTTGTGGAAACCAAGAAATTCAAAGGCAAGAGTGACAAAAAGCATTCAATATGGATAAGGGGCTTGTTGACACTAATTAATTCCTTATGGGAAATCTGAGTTTCTTTTCCTATGCTCAACCTCAAAGACCAAGCCATTACTCAGAAGTCCAGTTGTAAGATCACCTTGCCAGCATGTGTGAAGGCCTGTGAGCAGCGACTTCTGCTAGCATGAGCTAGCTGGGCTCCTTTCCAATGCCCACGTTTCTTTACTACTGCTTCAGCTTGTACTATTAAACTAAATCAGGTTCTAGGTACAAAAGGTAACCACCACGGTTATCATAGATCCCTGAAATAAAGGCAACAGGGGCTTGCTTACACTTAAAACTAGGGTAGTAGACAACATACTACCTTGGCAGACATTCTGGATTGACTATTACTAAGTAAAAATCCACAGGCCAAAGTGCAGCCTGCAAGTTTACTGGAAATAGCAACTTTACACCCTGAAGGTTTTACTTACTCAGTTTTTTTCACATGTGCATTTAAGATTTTTCATTAGTGACTGGCAAATGCTTCAAAAAATTTACCTTTGTTCCAAATGGCTGCTTTCGGTATAAGACATAACTGTATCACGACTGTCAGGTGTCATACCAGCAAAAGATCAAAAAGAGTTCTAAAAACCTGCATCAGTTATAAGAATTCCTGGGTTTACTAGTTTCTGACATTAACTTTAGCTATTTACCTTTCTGGACTTAGTTCCTTATCTGTAATTGCTACAATTTATTGAACATCATATCTTAGTTCTGTACTAAGTATTTTAAGCTTTGGAGCCAGCTTTAAAAACATCCTATCTCAACCATTCACTAGTTGTATGACCCTGGGCAAGGTACTTAAGCTCCATGTTTAACTTCTCTACCATAAAGGGCTTTGGGGGGGGCAGAATATTTAAGTTTTATAATGTAAAACACTAAGAATGGTGCATGGCTGGGCATGGTGGTCCACAGGCAGGCAGATCTCTGTGAGTTATAGGCAAGCCTAGTCTACAAAGTGAGTTCCAGGACAGCCAGGGCAATGTAGAGCAAGTTTGTTTTGTTTTGTTTTAAAGAATAATGTCTGATAATTAAGAGCCCAACACATGTAACTTCAAATTTTTACACACACACACACACACACACACACACACACAAAGTCAAATAATCCAATGAAGAAACCGAAGCCCCAAGATGAGCCTTCTGTTCTGAACTCACGTTGCTAACAGACAGCATAGGAGAATGGGGTTGAAGTCAGCTATGTCTAACTATGAAATCCCTATTTTTACTGACAATAACTTACTGTTGAGAGTGGCTGGACTAACAGCTAGCCTCATCCATTTTCAGGGTTATTGAGGCAATTAAGGAAATAATGTAGCCCGACTGTCCTGGCACAGGGAGTGCATGCAGTAAGGATTGTCCTATCTAAAGCCCTTTTCTAGATCACTTAAAATTTATTCAAAACCATTTCAGTAGGAACAGTTGTACAACTAGGAGGAACATTTCTGCCTTTAACAAACAACTGAAAGGCTTCAATGATTTACTCTTACTTAGAGATAATCTCTATGCCCCAAAGGTAACAAGAATAAAAGCAAGAAAATAGTAGCGAAGTTAGGACTCCCAGTAAACTTCAAAGGAAGGCTGGTAGGAGACACTTACAGCCCAGATTAAGTCCTTGTGAATCTGTACATAGGACTCCAACAATGGATGGATTCTTCATTCTAATTTTGGGAGCACAAGAAAGATGAACCAGGTGATGTGAAGAAAATACTTCAAATTATTGGAGTACAAACAGGCTTTCTATGCACCGAGTATTAAGCACTTCAAATCAGCTCTTAAAAAAAAAATTCCCCTCCCCCAAAAGATAAACTGTGAGTTGTTTAAATAAAGAAATTATTTTCTCACAACAGACTGAGCTAGGTACCTCTGCTTCACAAAGCCACAAACAATGCAGTTATCTTTAGGGTTCTGTCCTTGGCTTGGTATGTATAGAAGAAGCACGTTCTAGGACAACAAGTCATTAAGACAACTGTTAAAAATCTAAGTAACAGGAATTGCTCCTGGCAGGGATTAAGAAGCAGAAGGGGAAGGTGTTTTCTTGTAAGCCCCTTTACACTTCCCAATTTTAAATCTTACAGAGATAGCTGAAAAACCTAACGGACGTATTTACTTGACAAGAGGTGAGTAACTAATGGGTTACAAACGCGGGAAGGTGTGCGTGTGCTTTGGCACTGCAGGACCTCAATTTAGCACACCTGTGACATTCTTCTTCAAACTTAATCCGTTTCCCAAACTTCTGAAGAGCTCTAAGGACGACTTCAACATGACAGGTGATTGGGCCTCTCTAGCTTGGGCCCACAACTCTAGCCCCATTAGGAAGCTCATAGAACCTAGGGAAACTTTAAAATCCAGTTACGAGCGGCCCGGCCGTACGCAGAAGTCACCCGCTCGCGCCCCCAAGTGCCCCAAACACTTCCACAGACATTCTTTGTCCGTGCCGCTTGTTCCACTCCAGCTCCCCTGTCCGGAGCCCAGGACCGGCTGCACGCACTACTCACGTGTCCTCCAAATGCTGCTCCAAAGTCGCTTCCATCCCGCACGCTGTCCGGCCCAGCCCAGGACCCCGCAGCAAAACACTTCCTTCTTCAACGCAAGCCTCAGTCACGTGACTTGACCGAGGCGGGCGCCCGGACGGCGTCTCCAGAGGGACGAAATTCATCGCGGCGCCGCGTCCGCGCTCTCTACGAAAAGGCATAGCTACCAGCACAGGTCCGGTGGTATCCCGGGGTACCGGGTCTTCAGATTACTCTCTCCATCCGCAAGGAGGTCTGTAGTCGGGTCCCAGGGCCTCTTCCTGGCGTAGCACTTGGTCTTAGGAATTTTTTAACCTTTGGATTTTGTTTTAATTTCCAGTCCTAACTAGAGGTTGACCTTGTTTAAGTTTTAAAGGAACCAGGCAGATCTGGCAGGGCTCATCTAGGCAATAGGGCAAACACCAAGAAGACAGTGTTCGGTTTCTGACCCCAGGACAATTAACCGAGGTGCATACTTTACATATCAAAGCAGACCTGGCCGCTAGGTTTCCCAGCATCTCTCAGTTCCTACCTGGCATACCCTGTTCCCAACCCTGAACTTTCCAGCCCAGGGGCTGGACTGCCCTTCCCCCAGAGGCTCCTCCCTATATAATCAAGATGTTTTTAAAAAGTAAAATCAACATACATACTGTATATACAATTCTGAATTTTGTAGCAGGGATTCTTCAGAATTTAAGTATCTTTTCATGACAGCAAGTTTTTATTTACTTTGTTTGTAATAGTTGCAAAGCATCCCATATTTGTTATCATAGTTACACCTAAAGTGAATTTACAGTTATTACTGACCAGTTAAGTTGCTCTTGTGTCCCCTCCCCACCCTCTGCCCTGGTGGTACCATTGCTGTGCTGGTTGAATTTTCTTATAGCCGGATAGTATGCATTTAAGTTTTTTCTTTATGGTTAGTTATTAGAAATAGAATTATTTGGTCAAAAGTTATGGTCATTTTAAAGACACACACACACACTACACTAAGAAGGTTTTATGAAAATGAGGGTGTATCCATGGCTCGTCTCTACCCCTTCCTGTGCAGCATGCTTTGCACTAAGCGTCCTCCAGCAATCTGACCTCTGGCATTTACTCAGTTTGTTTTCTGATCTGGTGCCCATAAGATCAGGCCAAGACTTAGTCACCTGCTCGCCGTTTACCATATTATTAAAACGAAACTTGAAAAATTATTTTTTTTTAAACTTTACAGCTCAGGCTTATCTCTAATGTGTGATTCTCCTGCCTCAGCCTTCTAATGCTATAATTGCAGCTATGCTATAATTGAGCCACATACTTGGCTATGCTTCCAGAACTGTGTGTATGTATGTTCATGTGTATCTTGATCCATGTGTATGCTTGGGTTCAATGTGTTTGCAGATATTCATGCATGTATGCGCATGTGCAGTTGGGGGTCAGAGGTCAGCCTTGTCTTGTTCCTCAGGTGCCATTAACCTTGTTTGTTTGAGACAGGGTCTATCGATAGTCTGGGGCTTTGATTAGGCTAGCCTGGCTCACCAGCTTCTCCAGGAATCTTCTTGTCTCCACCCATCTCGGCTTCTTCAGTGTTGGGGTTACAAGTGTGCCATCATGCCCAGGCTGTTACCCATGGGATCTGGAAACCAAGCCCAGGTCTTCATATTTGCAAGCTAAGAATGTTGACCGAGACATCTCCCCAGCTTCTGGTTCTAGAATTCTAACTTTCTTAGGATTCCAGTTTATGTGGTGAAATGCGGGTTTTGGGGGTAAGTGCTTTGGAAAAGTTACCTGAGTTATCAGGTAACACAATGTGGGTTATCCAGATTTTAGAACAGCACTTTAGAGTTACCCTTGAAAGACAGAGTTAGAGTTGCATAGCATAGGGCATGCTGGTGCAATTCTCATTCCAGCACTTGAAAAGGTGTGGTAGGAAGGCTAGCCTGGGACTCATATTAAGACTTTGTATTTTAAAACATATAGATACTATGCAAACCAAAGTTTGCCCCAGTCGTCTTAAGAGAAAGCTTGCTTCTTAAAACAAATGCCTGAGGAAACAGTATCAGCTCTGTTTCCCTGTGGTCCCAAGTGGTAAGAATGTTACTGAATCAGGACTCCTCAGTTTGACCTTTCTGTTTTGTTCTGTTAAGCTCTAAGCATAAGCTGAGGACTTTACCTAGGACCTTACTCATGCTCGGTAAGTAAGTACTCTACTGCTGAGCTCTACCCTCTACCCAGTTCCCTTTCTAAACCTCCACATTACTCTCCAAACAGATAGAATGTGAGCTGCCTTATAGTTTTAAAAAACCTGGGAGCCACATAAACAAAACAGAAGAAATTAATTTTAACACAATTTTGTGTAACTAAGAAGTCATTTCAACATATAATTAATTAAAAATTTTTTTCTCCTGTCTTAAGTCTTTAAAATATGAAGTATATTTTGCACTTTGGCACATTGCAGTTCAGACTGACCACATTTCAAGTACTCAGTCCCTTGAGTGTTGGCTCCAGTATTGTCGAAGATGTCACCAGGGTATCTCAAATGATTTCAAAACCCGAAACATGATTAAAGGATTTTCAGAAAGCCTACAGATTAAGCTGGTTCTTACAGTCTAAGGTAGGCCTTAAAGGAAAAAGAAGAAATCAGGAAGAGGGAGGGATTTGGCATGTGTGAAGTGACAGGCACCTGCTGTTGTCTCTCTGTCTCTCTTCCCTCTCCCCTAGTCCCCTCTCCCCTACTCCCCTCTCCCCTACTCCCCTCTCCCCTACTCCCCTCTCCCCTCTCCCCTTCTCCGCTACTCCCCTACTCCCCTACTCCCCTCTCTCCTCTCCCCTCTCCCCTACTCCCCTACTCCCCTGTCTCCTCTCCCCTCTCCCCTCTCCCCTACTCTCCTACTCCCCTCTCCCCTACTTCCCCTCCCCCTACTCCCCACTCCCCTCTTCCCTCTTTCCTCTCCCCTACTCCCCTCTCCCCTCTCCCCTACTCCCCTACTCCCCTCCCCTTTCCCCTCTCCCCTCTCCCCTCTCCCCTCTCCCCTCTTTCCTCTCCCC